GTACCTCCACAATATGCTGGAAAAAAAATAAAAATAAAAAAAAAATAAAAGAAATTCAGGATGGAATTTGGGGTTTGGAGAGTTATGATGTTCCAGAATAGTTTAAGATTAAATCCTAGGTAAAAAAAAAAAAGATCTATCCAAGCTCAACAGATAGAATGAGCCCAAATCTTACGGTGAAATTCCTTCAGGTTGGAGGTCTTTCTTCTACCGATATGGACATACAATAAAGGGTTTTCACTGTGAGAGAACTGCTAGAGCTGTTCTCCTTTTACTTCATTAAACATTAAAAAAACAAAACCAAAAACACCAAAGAGGAAACCAGAAAGAAAAGGTCACCTAACTAGGCTGTAAGAATGCAACATCATCTAAAAGGGATCAAATAAGCCAACTTAACTATATTTGAATAAATGTAGATTGTTGTACTGTACTTAAAAAAAAAAATAACACACCCCCTGAAAATAAGCCCTAGGGTGTCTTCTTGAGGAAAAATAAATATAAGACCCTGTCTTATTTTGGGGGAAACACGGTAATACTGCTGGCTAGAAGGTCACATTTTAAGTAATAAAACTTTTTTTTTTTTTTTTTTTTTGAGACAGAGTCTCGCTTTGTTGTCCAGACTAGAGTGAGTGCCGTGGCGTCAGGCTAGCTCACAGCAACCTCAAACTCCTGGGCTCAAGCGATCCTCCTGCCTCAGCCTCCCGAGTAGCTGGGACTACAGGCATGTGCCACCATGCCCGGCTAATTTTTTCTATGTATATTAGTTGGCCAATTAATTTCTTTCTATTTATAGTAGAGACGGGGTCTCGCTCTTGCTCAGGCTGGTTTCGAACTTCTGAACTCGAACAATCCGCCCGCCTCGGCCTCCCAGAGTGCTAGGATTACAGGCGTGAGCCACCGCGCCCGGCCTGTAATAAAACTTTTGAGTACCTTTATATATGTCCTTATTGGAGCCTGAGGATCAGACTCTGATTTAAGCAGTTATCTTAAATATGGAAATGGGAAGGGAAGCAGTAGTTAATTATTTTACTTTGATTGTCTCAGCTGTTTAGTAATGGAGCTGGTGCTAAGACCCAGATTTTGTTACTCCAAATCAAATGCTGTGAACTCTGCGTCATTGGATAGAGTTGTCCTAACTTGAATTTTTCCTACTCTCCCCTTCGAACAGTTTTATCAATGAATTGCTTCGTTTAAAATCGTTCTGATTTCTTTGGTTTTCCAAGCTTCATTCAGAGTTAGCAAAAAACATGACTAAACCTGACACTGGTGGGTGCTAGGAAGTGGCTATACTTTTATTTTACATATTTATTATATAACAAATACATAGCACTTGCTATATGTCAGATACAGTTTTAAGTGCTTTGTAAATACTTACTTAATCCTCATAACAGTCCTTTGAGGTAGGTACTATTATTATTCCCATTCTATAGATAAGGAAACTGAGGCACATAAAGGTTAAATGGTTTGGTTAGGGTCCCATAGCCAATAAGTGACAGAGAAGTAAAACAATATACTAGTTTTATTCTGTAAGCACATAGGCAAGCTGTCTACAAACTGGTGTTGCTTTGCAAATTGGAGATCTGCCTCAGAAGTGCTGATGATCAAGGTTAGGGACAGTGAAGATCAGCTCTCTTTATTTTATTCCTGAGGCGGCTTGTTAAATGGCAAAGAAGCTCTCTACAAAAGAAATTAAGATTTTGCTGAGGGTGGAAGTGGGAGATAGGTTAATTGCCTTTCCTTAACCATTTCTTAAAGTAACAGTCATATAAACAAATTTGAGAGATGGTGGTAACTAAACAGCAGTCATGGCCTATTTGATCCCTTTTAAATGATGTTGCATTCTTACAGCCTAGTTAGGTGACCTTTTTTTTCTGGTTTCCTCTTTGGTGTTTTTGTTTTTGTTTTTTTAATGTTTAATGAAGTAAAAGGAGAACAGCTCTAGCAGTTCTCTCACAGTGAAAGAAAACCTTTTATTTTATGTCCATATTGGTAGAAGAAAGACCTCCAACCTGAAGGAATTTCACCGTAAGATTTGGGCTCATTCTATCTGTTGAGCTTGGATAGATTTTTTTTTTTTTTTTTACCTAGGATTTAATCTTAAACTATTCTTATAATCCTCTCTCTTGCCAGTGAAGCAGCTAGGCATTATAAAAACTTAAGGATGGTTTAGAAGTGCAAAAATTATCATTACAGAGAAATTTCAACTTTTTTCAATGATCTGTACCCTGCAACTGCTTCAAAAACAACAAAACCACAATAAACAACAACCCACAATTAAAAGGTCTACTGATGTGGTCCCTGAGAGATGGGGCCTCTGGAACATGGAATAGCTTAAACAAGGTTAACTCTATAAACAATAGTTTAAACTCATTCACATGTCTTCCCTTGACCACTCTATTTTTTTTTTTTTTTTTTTTGAGACAGAGTCTCACTCTATTGCCTGGGCTAGAGTGCTGTGGTGTCAGCCTAGCTCATAGCAACCTCAAACTCCTGGGCTCAAGCAATCCTTCTGCCTCAGCCTCCTGAGTAGCTGGGACTACAGGCATGTGCCACCATGCCCAGCTAATTTTTTTTTCTATATATGTTTTTAGTTGATCAATTAATTTCTTTTTATTTTTAGTAGAGATGGGTGTCTCACTCTTGCTCAGGCTGGTTTTGAACTCCTGATCTTGAGCTATTCTCCCGCCTTGGCTTCCCAGAGTGCTAGGATTAATTTTTTCTATTCACCCTATGTAGGGTGAAGAGACTGTGAAGGGATTTTTGTGTTTCCTACTTCTTGCCCAGGTGAAGATTTGAGCTAAAGGAGACTGTTCAGGAGGTTAAGAAACAGAGTTAAGGACAGCCCTATTAAGGCATTCCCCCTTTGCCTTAGGAACATATTGGCTTGCCTTAATGTTCTCTGAATTTAGCTTTGGATTGATTCTTTTAAAATAGCCTTTTCTGAAGGGCCTTTTTTCCTTTCGGTCCTCCCCACCTGCCCCAACAGAAATAGGGAGGGACAGTACATTCTAAAAAGCCTCCTGCCCTACAGAACTCTCACCCTAAGCATGTAGCTTTTTGTAATTTATACAGTACAACCTGTTCAAATGATTTTCTGCACAGCCAGACAACAGTGCAATAATTACTAGAAAAGGCCTTTTGGCATAAGGGGGAAAGGTGTAGATTTATTCCAGGTTTAGTTTGTGTGCATGTGTAATCTTAATTTGCAAAGGACTTTCACATCCACTATAATTTAATTATCACAAGACAATCCTGTGAGGTATGTGATGAGTATTAGCATCATACTATAGAGCAGGAATCTGAGGCTTGACTCATTTTTTCTTCAAAAAAATCTAGTGTAGAAAAGTTAATTTTCTTGTCTAAGTCCTTTTTCCTAATTATCAGTATAATTGGTCATCTTATTTCTAAGTTGGTGTTGAACTTCTGTTGGAATTTTGTAGTCTTCTTATAGAAAGTAGTTTCTCTTTGCAGGGATGTGGGGGAACCTACCCCTACACATAGAAAAACGTAAGCTATCCATGCTGTTTATCTCTGCAGTGAAGGATAGGTAGCCTTCTTGAGTCTCAGGCTCATCTTTCTCGATAATTTTCTTAATTACTTCCTAAAGTATATCTTTTAAAATTCTTTTAGTACAGGTAGTGTAGATGATAAACTCACAGGTTTTTTTGAGACAGTCTCGCTTTGTTGTCCAGGCTAGAGTGAGTGCCGTGGCATCAGCCTAGCTCACAGCAACCTCAAACTCCTGGGCTCAAGCGATCCTACTGCCTCAGCCTCCCGAGTAGCTGGGACTACAGGCATGTGCCATGATGCCTGGCTAATTTTTTATATATATATCAGTTGGCCAATTAATTTCTTTGTAATTATAGTAGAGACGGGGTCTCACTCTTGCTCAGGCTGGTTTTGAACTCCTGACCTCGAACAATCTGCCCGCCTCGGCCTCCCAGAGAGCTAGGATTACAGGCGTGAGCCACCGCGCCCGGCCTACTCACAGTTTTTTTTTTATCCTTTTGTTTATCTGAAAATGTCTGTCTTTCTCTCCCTCTTTGTGTTTTGGTTTTTGGTGTTTTCTTTGTTTTTTGCAAGGCAAGCATGAAACAAAGTTTATTGAGGAAGGGCAAGATAGGTTCACAGAGCAAGACTGAGATATAGATTTACAGAGCAAAAGCAAGATACATTAGCCACAGATGATGAACGGGCCCCCCTGTCATAAAAAAAGGGCCCTCCCTCTTTGTTAAGTTGTTCACATACACACACAAAACTCTAGCTTAATAATTATTGTCTCTTGGCACTCTTTTAGAAAATTTTCAAAGCCAGGCCCAGTGGCTCACATCTGTAATCCTCGCACCTTGGGAGTTCAAAACCAGCCTGAGCAAGAGTGAGGCCAAAAAACATTTCCATTGCTGCTGTTGAGTAGTTTTCTGTCAGTTGTTTCTTTGTAGATAGTTGTTTCTCTGTCTTCTGTGCTTTTTCTAGGAGGGTTAGTAGTATTGTAAGGCTGCCCTCTGCCTGTGGGTTTTCCTAGACTGGAAAGGTTGAAGTCCTGCCAAAAGACCAGGTGCAGGAGACATCTTACTAGCAGCATTAAGTAATTGGTCAGTGTCCTCATTTGTTTTTCCTTGGGACCACTCAGAAATAGTGACAGCTAGATCTAGATGGACTGGATACTCAACAACTGCCCTGCTCTGGAACCCAGATAATGGGAAAGACTCTTCAGAGAATGCTAGTGAAGCTATGAATACAAGAAGCAGAGTTAAACCTGATGCCGTTTCCAGACTGATAACTCCTTCCAAGCTGTTCAGGGCCTTTTACAGCTTTCTTTTTTTTTTTGTTTTTTTCTTTTTCTTCACAGAATGTTTGGAAATCTTTTACAGCTTTCTTATGTCAAACTATCCTAAGAGGCTAAGATGAAGAGAGAGAGGTTGAGTCACTGTAACTCTTTCTTGTTAATACAAAGGAGGAAGGAGTAACTTTTACATAACGTTTTTATTTTTGCTTTGTAGAATGCATCCTGTGTTGTTTTTGCTGCCCGGCATGCCAGTGCTTCCTCCACGGTAAGGTTTGGAAAAGAAGACAGAATTGTTGGGCTGTGGAACAGAGGATTTGGGGACCACCTGGTCTCTTATTCTCTTGTTACTGTCCTGAGTATCTCCTAGAAGTGTCCATTATTATTATTATTATAACTACTATTACTATATTACTATTTTAAGAAATAATTTACTCAATGGTATAGTAAAGTGGGAATATCAGATACTTTTGCTTAATTCTTTCTTTAAAATTTAAATATTTTAAATTGTGGTAAAATGTACATAATATAAAATTTACCAATTTAATAATTTAAGTATATGATTCAATGGCAATAAGTGCATTTACATTATTGTGCAGCCATCGCCACCATCCATCTCCATAACTTTTTTATCTTCCCAGATTAAAATTGTACCCATTGAACAATACTCATTCCTTCCTCCCCTGCCTAATTCTTTTATCCTCATGTATATATAATAGTAATAGTTAACCAGACTTCCCGGGTAGATACAGAAAACCAAATTCTAAAAAGCAAGTCTTCATATACTTACTTGCAGGAAATCTAATAAACGTTTTTTTCTTTTATTTCAGCATATTATGGGGGTACAAATGTTAAGGTTATGTATATTGCCCATGCCCCCCCTCCCTCCTAATAAACTTTTTGATGATCACTTAGCCCTTCTACTTCTCTTTTTAGAATTTGAAAGACATATTGGCTGATCTGATACCTAAAGAGCAGGCCAGAATTAAGACCTTCAGGCAGCAACATGGCAAGACAGTGGTGGGCCAAATCACTGTGGACATGGTAAGGGTTGTGGGACCTTGGCCCGGAAAAGTAGCTCTGTAATGTGCTTCAACAAAAGCACTATTCACTTACTGTTCAGAAGCATTGTGTCCCATACAAGATGATGTTTGGGGTTTATGGTGTTCATTTGAGATTAGATTGTTATTTTCTACAGATTTAATAGTTGCGCTTAATCTAATTCACCTATGGGAAGGATGGATGAAGTTTCTATTCCCAGTCCCTCAGCTTTTGGGGCCAGGACTCTGTGTTTTTGATTGATGCTATGCCAACCATCTAGTTAAACCACAGCCCTGGTAGGCCCTCTAGAACAGTATTAGAATGAGTTTTCCCCAGACTTAAGAGTCTGAGCAGCTCAGATGATAGTTTCACAGCAGTTTTTGGCCATTGGTCTCCACCTCTTCCCCTATAATATATCTCATTCTGTTTACTTTGGTTGATGGGACTTAGGAGTTAAGGGGGCTAAGAGTGGGCAGGAGAAAAAATAAAATACAGTAAGAAAAGGAAGCAGAGTCAGAAACATTAAAGAAAGTGAATGATTTCTCAACTTAAAAACTTCATTTCCAACTTTAACAGTCTTCCTTGCAAAGTTTAATTCTTCAGTAGGTTAACTCCTCAGACATTTTTTTCCCTCAAGTGCAAGTCAGAGAATAAATTTCCTCTCCCATATCCCATGAAGTTCTACCATGCTGTGTCCTGAATCACTCTGACTACTGGTTACAACCTCTTATATTTATTTTTTTTCCATTCTCTATAGATGTATGGTGGCATGAGAGGCATGAAGGGATTGGTATATGAAACATCAGTTCTTGATCCTGATGAGGTAAGACATCTTCATGTCAATCACTGATAATTATTGAGTTTATTGACTATGCAAACCATGGATTAGACCAGTAAGGGTAAGGGGAATAAAACAAAGCATATTAATATTTTGGAAGGTAGAGAATAAGTATGTATGGAATAACTGAAGAGCAAGTTTACTTTTTTAATATATCAACTTAAGAGTTGTAATTCTCACTCTTCTCCTTCAAGGGCATCCGTTTCCGAGGAATTAGTATCCCTGAATGCCAGAAAGTGCTGCCCAAGGCTAAGGGAGGGGAAGAACCCCTCCCCGAGGGCTTATTTTGGCTGCTGGTAACTGGACAGATCCCAACAGAGGAACAGGTAAAGCAGAAGGACATTAGCCCTTCTCATTTCCCTTCTTCATTGCCTTTTTCTGATCTCAGAAACTTAATCCTAATCTGGCTATGGGTGGTAGTTTATATAGATTTGTAGTGAGGGGAAAGAATCAGGGCAGAGTTCTGCTGTATAAGTGGATTGGATTAAACTTTCTTAACTTTTCTTTACTCAGATGTCACTTTCCTTTTGTTTTTCTTCTTCCTTTTCTTTGCTAGTGTTCTGAGCAGTGTCTCCTTTTCTACAGGTATCTTGGCTGTCAAAAGAGTGGGCAAAGAGGGCAGCTCTGCCTTCCCATGTGGTCACCATGCTGGACAACTTTCCCACCAATCTACACCCCATGTCTCAGCTCAGTGCAGCCATTACAGCCCTCAACAGTGAAAGTAACTTTGCCCGGGCATATGCAGAGGGTATCAACCGAACCAAATACTGGGAGGTAGGAAATTTGGGTGATGTGACCCAGTATGTGATGGAAAGTCAAAGGACTTGATTGTGAAGGGAGGAAAAGGAATGCAGAATTTTGAGAAAAATTACTTGTCTGAATTATGCTAGAAACTTACTTAACGACTTTTCATTGTAGGCTTGTTTTGTGTTACTTGTTGGGATTGCAAAGGTAAAGCATGGTTCCTTCACCAAGGTTATTGATTTGGTTAGGGTGATATACATGTAAAAAAGAAACTTAAAATTCCATAGCCTTGCTATAATAGAAGTATGTACACAGGACTGTTGTAACCTTGAAAAGGATGTGACATAACTGTAGAGTCCTTGAAGAAAATTTCACAGAGTAGTCTTACCCTGGCTCCAGAGTGTCACTCCCCACCCCACCCCCCGGTCTTATTCAAATAAGGTAAACTTTGTTACAAGTGGGGTGAACAGCAGCTAAGGTAACTCTAGAGTCTAGGAGGAAGACTAGTGCCAATCAGCCTCATTCTGGACTAGCCAACCCCAAATGCCTGTCAAGAGTGGGAAGGTGGTTAGTGTCCTGGGAGTACGATCCACAAACAAATAAGCTTTATTCTCTGAAAATTTATTCTCTTTATTTCTCTGAAAAGTGACCTTAATAGTTTAAACTCTGGTTGGGGTATGGGAAGATTGTTATGTCTTATCCTAATGTATAGTACATGATTTCTTCCATCCTCTTCCCGTATTCTATATACTCACAAACACTGGGTACAAGTACAAATTATCTGGCTAGGTTTACAGGAGGACATCCCATTTTCTTTTCTTATTTGGAGACAGTTAGTATGGGAACAGAAAAATTCCTTACAAAGCAAGTACACGAGGGAGGAGGAGGGGTGGAAGGGAGGGGTATATATATACACAGCTAATGGGTGCAGTGCACACCATCTAGGGGACCGACATGTCTGAAGTGCTGGCTCGGGTGGGGCAAGGGCAATATACATAACCTAAACATTTGTACCCCCATAATATGCTAAAAAAATACAAAACACAACAACAAAAAAGCAAGTACACTAAATGATTTTTGACCAGGAGATGCTAACCACCAAGAAGGCTTCAAAGAGTTCAGTATGATGCAAGACACACAATAGCATGATCCAGTGGTCTGATGAAACCCCCCTGGGGCCTTGGCAAATCCTTCTTCATTTGGTTGGTCAATATTTATTCAGTGCCAACTGTGTATAGAGAATTGTGTTTGCTGTTGAGGAGGAGAGAAGGGAAAGTTTGAAATTTTCATTAACTTGATTGGCATTGGGGAGGTTGGTATAGGAATTATGCAAAATGTACATATTCACACCACTTAAAACATTTATAAGGCCATATATCAGCAAGTACAAAAGGTCATATAATCTGAATATATTGCTGTTTTTTGGTTTTTTTTAAATGCTATTCAGGGGCCGGGCGTAGTGGCTCACACCCATAATTCTAGCACTCTGGGAGGCCGAGGCAGGCGGATCGCTCAAGGTCAGGAGTTCGAGACCAGCCTGAGCAAGAGCGAGACACCGTCTCTACTACAAATAGAATGAAATTAATTGGCCAACTAATATATATAGAAAAAATTAGCCGGGCATGGTGGCGCATGCCTGTAGTCCCAGCTACTTGGGAGGCTGAGGCAGCAGGATTGCTTGAGCTCAGGAGTTTGAAGTTGCTGTGAGCTAGGCCGATGCCATGGCACTCACTCTAGCCTGGGCAATAAAGCAAGACTCTGTCTCAAAAAAAAAAAGAAAAGAAAAAAAAATTGCTATTCAAGTAATTATCTGTGTGGGTCACCATAACAAAAAGGTTAAGACCAACAGTTCTACTCTAGAACACATCTTTCAGAAATTGGCCACATAGAAGTGCTTGTTAACTACTTTCAGTGTTAATTTTACTGCCACAGGGGGAAAAAACAGCTTCTTCATACTTTATAATAGATGCCTATAAGATATTTCCCAGACATCTAGACATGCTGCATGCTTAACACTGCCCTTTACTGAACCACTAAAATGAATCTTGTATTCCCTTGCTTGCTGTGGCCTCCATTTCAATGTACGTTCATTGCTTAACTGTTATGTCATGATCTCTATGAGATGCTATCTAAGGGTGACGATCCTGAGGTGAACATGTTATGTTTCAGGACTTTGCTAATCTTTTGGAGAGTATTTGTAAGCAATACCAATGTATTTGTCAGCCTTAGGATGTGTGTCTGGTAAGTTCACACTGCACACAAATTAGTACCAGTAACTGCTTTAGTTTAGTAGACCTTGATGCTCTTGCTGTCACATGTCATATTTCTTTCAAAGGTCAGACACACTATTTCAGCTCAGTTCTCTGTCTTGGTTAATTTAATTGTGGGCTGTTTAAGTAGAATTACATGACAGCATTCACTAGTTATTCAGCTGTTAAGAAGGAGTTTTTGTACATGTACCTCAAGAGGATGATCCTATGCCTACAAAATTTCTTCCATAACAGTTTCTAAACTGACTGTAGATGAATAACATAATCTCTTGAGTTGAAAGAGTTTTAACCAGCTTCCAGGTCTTTTTTTTTTTTTTTTTTTGAGACAGAATTCTCACTCTGTTGCCCAGGCTAGAATGCTGTGGCGTCAGCCTAGCTCACAGCAACCTCAAACTCCTGGGCTCAAGTGATCCTCTTGCCTCAGCCTCCCGAGTAGCTGGAACTACAGGCAAGCATCACCATGCTCGGCTAATTTTTCTATATGTTTTTAGTTGGCCAATTAATTTCTATCTATTTTTTTAGTAAAGATGGGGTCTCACTCTTGCTCAGGCTGCTTTCAAACTCCCAATCTTGAGTGATCTGCCCACCTCAGCCCCCCAGAGTGCTAGGACCAGGTCTCTTTTTGATTGACTTAACTTCACTTATGACAGGGAGATTGTTCTGATACAACTGACTGTTTAATTGTGAAGTAGCCTTAAGACTGTTGGATTTAGGCCGGGCGCTGTGGCTCACGCCTGTAATCCTAGCTCTTGGGAGGCCGAGGCGGGCGGATTGCTCCAGGTCAGGAGTTCAAAACCAGCCTGAGCAAGAGCGAGACCCCGTCTCTACTATAAATAGAAATAAATTAATTGGCCAACTGATATATATATATATTAAAAAAAAAAAAAAAATTAGCCGGGCATGGTGGCGCATGCCTGTAGTCCCAGCTACCCGGGAGGCTGAGGCAGAAGGATCACTCGAGCCCAGGAGTTTGAGGTTGCTGTGAGCTAGGCTGACGCCACGGCACTCACTCTAGCCTGGGCAACAAAGCGAGACTCTGTCTCAAAAAAAAAAAAAAAAAAAAAAAGACTGTTGGATTTAGTAAAATTATGAAGTACCTGACAGATCAAGTTTTGCTGGTAATGCTACCTTTTATAAGGTCTGTGAATGGTTTATATAGATTTTGAAACTGTTTAAATAAAATTGTAATCAGCCTAACACCTAACAGCTATTGAAAACATGCTAAATAGCCAAATATGCTTAGATGGTTTACAGTCATTATCTGATTTAATCCTCAGAATAATTCTGTGATGTGTTATTTATTTATATATCTATGTATATATATATAAATGAATGAGACAGAGTTCTCACTCTGTTCTCTGGGCTAGAGTGCAGTGGCATCAGCCTAGCTCATAGCAACCTCAAACTCCTGGGCTCCAGCAAGCTTACTGTCTTAGCCTCCTAAGAAGCTGGGACTACAGGCATGCGCCACCATGCCCGGCTAATTTTTTCTATATATAGTTAGTTGGCTAATTAATTTCTTTCTTTCTTTTTTTTTTTTTAGTAGAGATGAGGTCTCACTCTTGCTTAGGCTGGTCTCAAACTCCTGAGCTCCAACAATCCGCCTGCCTTAGCCTCCCAGAGTGCTAGTATTACAGGTGTAAGCCACCATGCCTGGCTGAAGTGTTATTTATTATTTCCTTTTTTTTTTTTTTTGTAATTCAACTTTCAGTTTTGCAATCCATTTTCTTACTGAATAGGAAAACATAATTAGAGAAGTTAAGTAGCTTGCCAAAGGTCATGCATCTAGCAAGTGGTAGAACTCCAGATAGAAACTCCAGATAGAAACTGGAGTTTGACCCTAGCATCTCTTCACCATTTATACTGGCTCTCTTCTTTTTCTATAAATGGAAGAATCTTGGCCAGAATTTTTCTAGCAGCGAGATGGTGGCCAGTTATGTTACCTTTATTCCAGACAGTTGTGATGGTGGCATTTTTTAACATATTTTTCCAAAGCTTTATAAATGAAGAGTAAGTTGATACAAGTTGTGGGGAGTTAGCTATGCTCCCAGCAAAAAATCAGGTCCATAAGGCAGGGGTCATCACAAAGGATAAGGAAATAATAGAAAACTGTAAACTGTGAACCCCAGAATAAAGTTTCACATGGGTATTTATAGGTACAGAGATCTGTTGCCGGGGGTAACAGGTTTACATAATAACAGGTAGATCTTTTTTTTTTTTTTAGGTTAAAAGTCTTCCAAAAGGCTTCTATAGATCCCTTAATTAACTCTATCTACGTGAACAAACAGTTACAAAATCTTTCAAAGACAAACTTCTAAGTTATAAGATGAAGCTATCACTTAGCAGAAAGGTTAAACAGAGATATAGTGGCTTCATGTTTTTTTATCTAGTTTTTGTGTATGAAGACAGGTAGTCAAGAGTCAAGCAGGGGCCAGGTGTGGTGGCTCATGCCTGTAATCCTAGCACTTTGGGAGGCTGAGGCAGGAGGATTGCTCAAGGTCAGGAGTTCAGAACCAGCCTGAGCAAGAGTGAGACCCTGTCTCTACTAAAAATAGAATGAAATTAATTGGCCAACTAATACATATATAGAAAAAATTAGCCGGGCATGGTGGCGCATGCCTGTAGTCCCAGCTACTTGGGAGGCTGAGGCAGTAGGATCATTTGAGCCCAGGAGATTGAGGTTGCTGTGAGCTAGGCTGACGCCATGGCACTCACTCTAGCCTGGGCAACAAAGCAAGACTCTGTCTAAAAAAAAATAAATAAAAACAAAAACAAAGGAAAGTAGTTGTCACTGACCTTTGAGATGCCCTCCTGAGGTGAGGCAGCTTTTGATATGCAAACTAACACATTTCTTCAGGGCAAAGCCCTGCAAAACTCCTGAGATCATTTCTGTCTCTAATATAGCAATATTAGTCTATGCAACAATATTTCCATGGAGCAAGAAGTATCTAAATAAAACCTCAGTTTTAGCTTATTAAAGAAATAAGCAGGAGTTCTCTATAAGATTTGTTTTGTTTCTAAAAACTCTTCTTGATTATACAATGTTGATTACAACAAAAAGCAACATAAGGATCCCACAGTGTCATACCTGGGCAAATACTTCTTGTTTTAGAAACTTCATCTTGGCCGGGCACAGTGGCTCACACCTGTAATCCCAGCAGTTTGGGAGGCCGAGGCAGGAGGATCACTTGAGGCCAGGAGTTGGACAGCCTGGACAACATAGCAAGACCCCTCTCTCTACAAAAAATTTTAAAATTAGCCAGGTGTGGTGGTGCACGCCTGTAGTCCTAGTTATTCTTGAAAGTTAGTATGTACTCCACAGATACCAGTTTGCATAGCCTAGGATCCTGTTCTTGACATTCTGCTAACGAATCTGGGTTCCTTAGAACTGCTTATCCTTGATGTAGACTTCTAGAAGTAACCTACTTCCTTGGGGGATGTAAAGCTGCAAGGAAGTATAGTTAATAATATGATTATTATATAAGTAATCTCTTGAGCAGCTGAAGGTATTAGCTAAATATTTCTTGCTTCAGGTAGCTTCTTAATTTTGGCATTATTCTCACTGAAATAGTCTTGTTAAAAACCTGTATCTGGGCCGGGCGTGGTGGCTCACGCCTGTAATCCTAGCACTTTGGGAGGCTGAGGCGGGCGGATTGCTCAAGGTCAGGAGTTCGAAACCAGCCTGAGCGAGACCCTGTCTCTACCAAAAATAGAAATAAATTAATTGACCAACTAAAAATATATATACAAAAAATTAGCCGGGCATGGTGGCGCATGCCTGTAGTCCCAGCTACTCGGGAGGCTGAGGCAGTAGGATCGCTGAGCCCCGGAGATTGAGGTTGCTGTGAGCCAGGCTAATGCCATGGCACTCACTCTAGCCTGGGCAACAAAGTGAGACTCTGTCTCAAAAAAAAAAAAACCTATATCTGCCCAGCCTTCTAGATCTATCAATTCATAGGAAATACAGTAGACAGAGGAACATGGTAAATGACATCACAGGTATATAACCAGCAAAATCTTTTTGTTGTTGTTGAGACAGTCTTACTCTGCCACCCAGGGTAGAATGTAGTGGCATCATCATAGCTCACTGCAACCTCCAACTCCTAGGCTCTAAGCAGTCCTCCTGCCTCAGCCTCTTGGGTAGCTGGGACTATGGGTATGAGCTGCAATGCTCAGCTGGTTTTTTTTTTTTTTTTCTTTCTTAGAGATGAAGTCTCACTCTTGCTCAGGCTAGTCTTGAACTCCTGAGCTCAAGCAATCCTCCCATCTTGGCCTCCCAGAGTGCTAGGATTACAGGCGTGAGCCACCGAGCCTGGCCTATGACCAGCAAAATCTTAACCATGGGAAATTCTACAGAACAAAGGATCCCACTTGCCACAAATATATTGCAAAGTAAAAAAAGAACAGAAGGCTGGGCATGGTGGCTCACACCTGTAATCCTAGCTCTCTGGGTGGCCGAGGCGGGCGGATGGTTTGAGCTCAGGAGTTCGAAACCAACCTGAGCAAGAGCGAGACCCCGTCTCTACTATAATTAAAAAGAAATTAATTGGCCAACTAATATATATAGAAAACATTAGCCGAGCATGGTGGCGCATGCCTGTAATCCCAGCTACTCGGGAGGCTGAGGCAGAAGGATCACTTGAGCCCAGGAGTTTGAGGTTGCTGTGAGCCAGGCTGATGCCACAGCACTCACTCTAGCATGGGCAACAAAGTGAGACTCTGTCTCAGAAAGAAAAAAAAAGAACAGAAGAAGGAATTAAAATTGATTAAAAGAGACTTCAGGACTAGGCGTATGATGACTCACATCTATAATCCTAGCTACTTGGGAAGCTGAGGAAGGAGGATTGCTTGAAGCTAGGAGTTCCAGACCAGCCTGGACAACAAAGCAAGACCCTGTCTCTAAAACACTTTTAAAACTTTGGCTGGCCACAGTGGCTCATGCCTATAATCCTAGCACTCTGGGAGGCTGAGGCCGGAGGATTGCTTGAGGTCAGGAGTTCAAGACCAGCCTGATCAGTTCAAGACCACAGTCTAGACCCTGACTCTACAGAAAATAGAAAAAATTAGCTGGGCATAGTGGCAGGCACCTGTAGTCCCAGCTACTTCTGAGGCTGAGGCAGGAGGATTGCCTGAATCTGGGAGTTAGAGGTTGCAGTGAGCCATGATCATGCCTCTGTACTGCAGCCTGGGTGACAGAAAACAAAACATAGTGTCTTAGCACATTCATTGAGTGCAAAGTCATAGTATAGAGAGAACAATCAGGATTAAACACATCAGGGTTCAAACTGACTTTGGCATTTAACTAAATATTTTGAACCTCAGTTCCTTCATCTTTAAAATAGTGGTCATAATATACTTTGTAGGATAGTAAGCATTGGGAAAAATGTTTTAATGTACATGAGATAGTATTATAAATCACTTATTAGTATAGTGCGTAGTTCCTAACAGTTAATTCAGTTAGTTAAATGGTTATTATTGTTCTATACTTTGAAACATACTCAATATATAATAGCCCAGCATATAACCATTAACCCAAATAACTCAATAGTGAAGGACAGACAGTATCCCTAATTCTTCTTCACTAATAATTCCTTCTTTTTCTCTCCGTCTTCCTCTTCTCCCATCAGTTGATTTATGAAGACTGTATGGATCTGATCGCAAAGCTACCTTGTGTTGCAGCAAAGATCTACCGGAATCTCTACCGGGAAGGCACCAGTATTGGGGCCATTGACTCTAAGCTGGACTGGTCCCACAATTTCACCAACATGTTAGGCTATACAGATGCACAGTTCACTGAGCTCATGCGCCTGTACCTCACTATCCACAGGTGAGCTAGAAACTACCAACCAACCATAGCCACCAGGTACCGTTTTTGATGGGAATTTTTTTTAAGGCTTTTTATGTTTTCATCTTCTGGAAACAGATGGTAGGCACCATGGAGATGGAAATGTGGCATAAGGGGTGATATAAGGCAAGAAAAGGGTCTAGTAAGGAAGGTCAGGAGGCCTAGGGAAATTACCCTAACCATGTTAAGAACAAGATGGTACTTCTAGTTGGGAAAAGGTACTAGGTGTCCTCAAACTACCGGCCCGCAGGCTACATGCGGCCTGCCGAGGACATTTATCTGGCCCGACGGGTGTTTTTGCTGCTGCTGCCTGTCCTGCTTAGCAGCCGACTCGTCCCGGGCCCACAGAGCACATGTGTGGAATGTGCACCGCACTCTCCAACAGCCCTCCAGTGGTCTGAAGGACAGTGAACTTGCCCCCTGTTTAAAAAGTTTGAGGACCTCTGCACTAGCTGCTCACATTAGAGGGTCCTTCAGCTTTCTAGGAGCTCCCTCTTCTGGTTATTGCTACTAAAGCTGGAGTGGGAGTCAGGGATTTGGGCACACAAGCATCATCAACCACAGTAACCTCTCCAGCTCTGTGGATTAGTGAACAAAAACTGGTAATGAAATTAGGATGTCTTTTACAAGAGTTTAGGTATAACTGGCCATAGGCTGATGTGAATCCATAGTGAGGCTATTATGTGACAAATAAGAGAACGGCAAGATCTGTGTTACTATAATCTGCCCTTTTCTTTCTCTCCTTGACTCTCTCTTCTTACTTTCCCATAGTGACCATGAGGGTGGCAATGTAAGTGCCCATACCAGCCACTTGGTGGGCAGTGCCCTTTCAGACCCTTACCTGTCCTTTGCAGCAGCCATGAATGGGTTGGCAGGGCCTCTACATGGACTAGCAAATCAGGTAAGACTTTTCTTTTTCTTTTCCTACCACATGGTTTTCTTACTCCCATGCTTTGTTCTTGATCTTGGCATTCTCTTCTGGCATATGCATTGATATTCCTTTTTTCCCCAAACTTTAACCATAGGAAGTGCTTGTTTGGCTAACACAACTACAGAAGGAAGTTGGCAAAGAAGTATCAGATGAGAAGTTACAAGACTACATCTGGAACACACTCAACTCAGGACGGGTAAGTAGAGATGCTTAGCAACCAGCAAAGAAGGCAAGACCCAAGTTCTGCAATTTGGAAGACTTAAGAAAGGAATGAGAGAGGTCCCCAAATCAGAGAAAAATATTTTCCCCTCCATTTGTCTACCCTGAAGAATTAAGAAAATAATTTTTAGCTGGGTGCAATGGCACATGCCTGAAGTCCCACCTGCTCAGGAGACTGAAGCAGGAGGATTCCTCAAGGCTAGGAGTTGCAAGGTTATAGTGCCTATGAATAACCACTGCATTCCAGCCTGGGCAATATAGCATAGCAAGACCTTGTCTCAAAAGAAAAAATTTCTGGCCGGGCGCGGTGGCTTATGCCTGTAATCCTAGCTCTCTGGTAGGCCGAGGCGGGCGGATTGCTCGAGGTCAGGAGTTTGAAACCAGCCTGAATAAGAGTGAGACCCTGTCTCTACTAAAAATAGAAAGAAATTAATTGGCCAACTAATATATATAGAAAAAATTAGCCGGGCATGGTGGCGCATGCCTGTAGTCCCAGCTACTTGGGAGGCTGAGGTAGGAGGATCACTTGAGCCCAAGAGTTTGAGGTTGCTGTGAGCTAGGCTGATGCCATGGCATTCACTCTAGCCTGGACAACAAAGCAAGACTCTGTCTCAAAAAAAAAATTTCTACCTTAGAATAGCAGTTGTCTTTTTTCCTTCACTCTTTACAGGTTGTTCCAGGCTATGGTCATGCAGTACTAAGGAAGACTGATCCACGATACACCTGTCAGCGAGAGTTTGCTCTGAAACATCTGCCTAATGACCCCATGTTTAAGCTGGTTGCTCAACTATACAAGATTGTGCCCAATGTCCTCTTGGAACAGGGCAAGGCCAAGAATCCTTGGCCCAATGTAGATGCTCACAGTGGGGTGCTGCTCCAGGTAAGTCCTCCTGTCCCTACTTTCTCTCTAATTTGTAACAAACCCTGTTCTCAGCTATGCACAAAATCAACTCCCTAGTCAGAGCAAGAACTCTTATACTAACCCTCTCCTAGAGCCTTTTAATAAAATTGGCTATAATGTATGGAGGGTAGGGGTTGGGGTTGCTCTTGCTCTCTTTTCAGAATCTCAATTGCTATACTTTTCCCAGTAGTGTTTCTATTTAAGGCTGACTGGGCTAAGTCCCTGGAGAGAAAGGGAAAATAGAGCCTCTAAAGGTTTCTATCACTCTGGACTTGTACATGCCATTGTCTCTGAGCCTTAAACAAAGTCTTTTTCTCTTCTACTTTACAGTACTATGGCATGACGGAGATGAATTACTACACAGTCCTGTTCGGGGTGTCACGGGCACTTGGTGTATTGGCACAGCTCATCTGGAGCCGAGCCCTAGGCTTCCCTCTAGAGAGGCCCAAGTCCATGAGCACTGATGGTCTGATGAAGTTTGTGGATTCTAAGTCAGGGTAAAACTGGAGACGGGGAGGAAACTGACTTACCAGAAAATGAGGAAGCTTAAAAAAAAAATATATATATATATACCTTTGTTTCAGGGGGCCTTTAAAGACTTAAGATTAATTGTATCTGAGGCACTGATAATATGTTTGAGGTTAAAATATAAATTATGACTTTAAAAGATGAAAAGTGACCACGTCTTCCCTAACCAGCTCCCTTCCCCTGCCTGGTATGAGTTGCCCATCAACTGTAGGATGACCAGGACTAATGCATGTAGTATGGGTTAGATTTGGTTCCCTGCCATCTCCAGAGTGATAATCTGGCTCTTCTTTCTCTGGGTCAAAGCTGGTTGCAGAGAATCTTCAGTCACTTCAGAGATTTTGCTTCTACTCTGCTAAGCCCTCAATTAGCCAGCAAACCAGGATTTTGCCCCTTTTGTTTACATAGGAATCATGTTGGATTGTCAGTTGTACCAAGCTCTTTGGCCCTACCCATGCACACAAACATCTCCTAGAAGAACCTGTTGGTTAGCTGGACATGCTTTGGCATTTTTTTTATGTTACCAGGTGACCATAAAAGCATGGCATTTGTTGTGACTGGCACCCAGTGTTTGATTTTCATGTTTTAAAATTATCTCGTTAAAATTAAGGTCTGGGAGTGTTTTGTTTCCCATTACTTTATTTTTTTATTATTATTATTTTTTCCCATGCTATCACTCATTTGTTAAGTTTCCCATTACTTTAAAATTCACCTCCTTCCAGACTTTCTATACCTGCTGCACCTCAAGATGAGGATGTTCTGGACCTTTCCCTCTTGGTCCCTATTAGAGACCTCTTTCAACAGATCTGTCTGATCTGTGGTCTTTCCCAGTCATTGGGTTTTATCAGTGCTTAATGTGAACTAAGTTTTTTACTTCCACAGAATATAAGCCACTACCTTCTGACCCACCCACCCCTTTAATATACTGTGGGACAGGGACTTAGGAATGACCAGCATATCTTCAGAGTCTGGTTCCAGGGTTACTAGCACCTCTTTTTGAATAGGGAAATCATTCAAGATTAGACGTGGACTCCTTTGAATATCAGTTCTGGGGAGTGAGGGCATTAAAAATAGTAAGCTTCCCTCTTCATCCCCTGCCTCAAAAAAATGCCCCCTTATTTATCAACATCCTTTTCCTGCGCCTTCCCCAAGAGCTCACAGTACAGTGTTTTAGAAGCCCCATTTGCACAGGTTTTCAGCGACTCAGAATGCTCCACTGCCTTTTCTTTGAGAAAGGGTTGATACACTCCTACTGTGCCCCTTTCTTCCCTCAAAACTCCTGCCTGTGTTTGTGTGGATTCCTAACCCCCAGAACCACACTGTTGAGATGGACACACTGTAAACCCTTGGGTAACTGTCAGGTCATTATGCAGACTTCAGGTTATTCTGTATAAAATGCAAAATAAATGTTTTTATTAACAATGCTTGAGTCTGCTATTAAATAAGAACTGGAGGAATCTTTATTATGAGGTAAAGAATCTGGCTAGTAAGATCCTGAACGTAGCAGGTTATAAGTTATCCTCTGCATCCCTTTATCTTTTAGAGAGGTTTGGCCTTCTTTTACCCTAATCAGAGGAAAGGTTCCTGAGAGATTCCCAAAAGAGATTTCTGTCCTTCCTCAAGGTTAGGAAATCCTTGAACTTTATCCCCTAACCTTCTTAATTTTGTTGTAGGGTAGAGCACTCAAGGACTACAGCTGAGACCACAAGTGCTTATGTGAATAATCCAAGAACTGGTCTAGTCCACTGAGTGAAAGGAACAAACTATACCAAGGACAAATGGGCTACAATTGCTAGCTCAGGAGCTGAGCCACTAGAGGGCTCTGGTACTTCTTGGAGTGCCTACTCTTTGCAGCTTCCCTTAAGGAGGTCCCAAAAATAACAAGAGGTGGTCCTGAGGGCATCAGATATATGGGAGGTCTGAGACCAGATGATTCTCGCCTAAGACTCTGCTGCAACTGACCTTCTGAAAAAGTCTATAAATAGGCAAGGGGGTGGGTACTAGGTCCTGGCTTGTAGAATTTGCTACTATAGTTAGCAGGGACACTATGTCCAAGAGGCCTTCTTACACCTTCACTCCCCCAGGGAAGGAAGCCATGACTTTCATCTATTCTGCTTTATCTACATTATTCCCCCAAGAAACAATACAATAAAGTCAAATTCACACTGTCACAATTTATTGAAATTTTATAAAAACTCAAGCCAAGTGGAAGAATAAGGTACAACTCAAGAGTACAAAGACAGTTCTGTTCAGTGCTTTTTTTTTCCTCCTGGCTCCTTTGGCACTGGTGGTAAGAAAGCCCCTTGCTCTCTCTTAGCCTGGCAACACGGAAATACTCGTAAATTAGGCCTTATAGATTTCAGGTCAGGGGCAGGTTGCCTTTTCTCCTGAGGAATCTCAGGGAGAACAAAAGTTATTTACCACCAGTACCTCTGTGCCAGAAGAAAAAGCTCAATTTATTCTTAGAAAAGTTACTATCTTCCCTTAGTCAGAAACTAAGGTGCCCTGACAGGGCCCAAAGACAACCACACAGTCCTGATTCTAATTCATTGTGAAAAGGCTGCAGACATATGGGGCTCTCAGCATGGGCCTGACCCTTTCCTAGGCATGTCGCATTTCCACACTCCCTGCCCTTTCTTTCCCCCAGCATTTACAGCCAGCATAGAGCCCAATTTCTGGGGCATTGAGGGGAGGAACGGTATTTATGAACACAGACTCCTCTCACAGGAACAGGAACCAAACCAAATAAATAAGGATTGGGTGAGGAAGGGGAATAGAAGAGAGGCTAAGGAAAAATCCTTTGCCTCAAGTCTGGTGCACCTCATGGAACATCAGTTCACGGGGGATGGCTGTTTCTGGACCAAACTTGGTGGCTGCCCGACGCTCAAAGGCAGCAACATTCTGTTTGACAACCTCATCAAAAAACATGGTGGCCAGCTTGGAGTGCAGTAGAGAACGAAATTCAAAGGAAATCTGGGAATGGGTAAGAGACAGTCAGAAACTCTTCAGGACCATTTTAGATAATCTCTGGGCAAATGCAAGGATACTGTTTCTCAGTGCCTTTTCTCCCTTTTCTTCTCCTCCCCCTCCAGTTCCTTAGCCCCTTAAGAGCCTTAACTTAGGGTTGAGCACGGAGTACAAATTTGATACAAGCTCAGACCTGTAGAAACTGACTTGGGAAATGCTAGGTGCTAGCTATACTGTAAGAATAACCTCAGCTCACCCCACACCCAGTCCTAGACCTGTGTTACATAACCTCCTCACTCACCGAAAAGTCCACAGTGCAGGTTCGGGGATAGGCAGGAATACCAGGGCTGAATCGCCAAATGGTCTCTAAGTGATTGAAGAGCTTGCCATCAGTACAAACAGCCTAGAAGAGGACAATCAATAGTTAAATAACATTAGTAAGTATAGGAGGAAATACGAAGGACTTGAAAGCCATCTTCCTCTTCTAATATTTTATTAGGAAAATATTTGGCACACAGAGATAGACATTACAAGGAAGGGCAAAATAGCCCTTTAATGTGAAAGTGCTAAGGAACACAGAAAAAACTTACTGGACAATCCCTCCCAATCAGGCCTCACCTTGACCATGTGAGGTTTGACCATGGAAACTGCAGAGGTATAACGTTCTATGATAGGTGGAAAGCCAACCTCTAGCTGGGCCTTCAGGTGACCCTTACGGCTGGATATCACCAGAGACTTCTTACACCAGGGCACAAACTCGCGATACTCCTGGACGTTGGACACCACCTCATACATCTCCTGCATTGAGTACCTAGGGGAAGAGGAATCAGAGGCCAAGGAACTGCCAGCTGGGTCAGGTTACTTCTTGCCATAAGTCCCCAACTCATATCTTTACCCAGTAATCATGCACCTTTAAGAACTAGAGATCCCAAATAAGCCTGGAGAAATGACTTACCAAAAAGCAAATATGCAAATCCCCATGATGTTAATGTTACCTTACATTTTGCAGTTTATGGGATGCTTTTGCATTCATTATTAATTTGATCCTAAGATCATCTAGGGCGAACAGAGAAGCTGTCAATTTTACTAGTGATCACACATGGATCAGATCTCAGATCTACAATTTTTTTTTTTGAGACAGTCTTGTTTTGTTGCCCAGGCTAGAGTACCGTGGTGTCAGCCTAGCTCACAGCAACCTCAAACTCCTGGGCTCAAGCGATCCTCCTGCCTCAGCCTCCCGAGTAGCTGGGACTACAGGCATGCGCCACCATGCCCAGCTAAGTTTTTTTTTTATATATATATTAGTTGGCCAATTAATTTCTTTCTATTTATAGTAGAGATGGGGTCTTGCTCTTGCTCAGGCTGGTTTCGAACTCCTGACCTCAAGCAATCCGCTCGTCTCAGCCTCCCAGAGAGCTAGGATTACAGGCGTGAGCCACCGCGCCCAGCCCATCTACAATTTTTTAACAATGTCGTGGCCCTAGGTAAATCATCTGTGCCTTCATTTTCTCGTCTATAAACCAGAGACAATAGGTGGGTTTTGTTTTTGATTTTGAGACAGAGTCTTGCTTTGTTGCCCAGGCTAGAGTGAGTGCCATGGCGTCAGCCTAGCTCACAACAACCTCAAACTCCTGGACTCAAGCGATCCTCCTGCCTCAGCCTCCCGAGTAGCTGGGACTACAGGCATGCACCACCATGCCCGGCTAATTTTTTCTATATATATTAGTTGGCCAATTAATTTCTTTCTATTTATAGTAGAGATGGGGTCTCGCTCTTGTTCAGGCTGGTTTCGAACTCCTGACCTTGAGCAATTCGCCCACCTCGGGCTCCCAGAGTGCTAGGATTACAGGAGTGACCCACCACCCTGCCCAGCCAAACCAGAGACAATAATAGCACCTGATTTACAGGTTTGTTTTGAGGATTAAATGAAAAAAATCTATGTAAAACACCTAGGCAGCCTAGCTGCTAGCATGTAGCAAGTACTCAGTAAGTTAGCTATTACATTGTGTTCAGAACACATAAAAAAACATGAAGGTCAGGTCACCAGAAAAATAACAGTCTTATAGTCCAACCCTAGTCTCATTTCACTTGCACATGCACAGGAACCAAGAAAAGGGGAAATTAAGGTTAGAAGCTGGCAAGGAAGGATAAAGGATCAGTAATAGATCTGGGGCAGGGGTTGGCCAGGTATGAATCTTTCCCAGTAATGCTACTCTTACATTCTAGCCTGGATATGGTTATTTGGAGGGAAAGGGGAGATAGATGCACGGTAGAGGAGGATGCTCACCCCATGATCCTACGCTCCGAGTAAGCCTTTCGCTTGTTGGTGAAGGGGGCAGCAAAGCCCATGAAAGAACGGCTAGGAGGTAAGCCAGCTTCAGCCGCCAAGACCTGGGTAGCCCTGGGCAAGAAGAGGCTGCAGGAGATCAGAAACCTACGGCCAAGAGGAAAGAAGAAGAAACAAGATTCTTTATTCCTCTATTACTTCCAGGTGAAAGGGAAGAAAGGTGCACCCCAGAGGAAGGTCATCCAGACAACTTTTCCCTTTAGCACCTGCTGCAGCTGCCCAAGCTCGCTCACTCGTTCTCTGGCCAGGCAATCACGAGTGCAAAAGGTCGAGGGCAGCTGAGGACAGGGCTGGGGATGGGAAAAAGCAGGGTGCATGCAAAGCTCCAGTTGCCTTTGGGGCTACACTGCTGCTGAAAGTTAAGACTCAGTAAGCATCACTGACCCCGGGCCCCGCCAGGCCTGTTAGTGCTAGGGCGCCCACGAGGGCCAAGAAGTGGTTGGACACCCACCCCGAGGACTTCCCCTGTCGTAGAACTTGCAAAAGCATTCTCCAAAGCTCTACATTAGCTCCCAGGGCACGACCAATGCCGGCTTCCGCCGCGCCTGGATCACAGGTTGCAACTTTCCTCGGCAGAACCTCGGGGTCCTCAGCTACCCCCTGCTGTCCTGTGCTGACGCCCGCGCCTCCCTCTCACCTCATTGGTCGCGGCTGTAGCGGAGGGCCTGGGGGCGGGGCCGGGCGTGCGCCCCGGCGGAGCGAGAGGACGCCGCAGCGCTGGGCAGCCGTGCCGGTCCCAGCGGGGAGTCGCCGTGCGCCCGCCGAGGCCATGCGCGCGACCCTCCTGGCCCTCTCGGCTCCGACACTGGCTGCTCCCTACTCCAGAGGAGGAGCGGCAGCCGAGCGGGTCCGGGGCGGCCCCCAGATCGCAGGGGCGGCGCGAGGCTGCGGCTCCCCGCCCTGCTCCCGTCCAGGCGGCCGGGTAGGCTAGAACTGAAGCCAGTACCGCTGTTCCGCAGCTCTTGGTGTCCCCCACGTCACACCGTTGCCATGGCTCGGGACTGGGCGAGGGAGGAAGGAAGGGGACAACGGTGCCTTTTGGGAGATGTAGTTTCACACCCCTGGCGCTGGGGTGTGTGTGTGTGTGAGAAGCTGCAGAGCTGGCTCAGGGGAGCGAGGTCCTCTGGCAGAAACTACTTGGCAAGTCTGTGGTCACAGGACCTGATACGTAGGCACAGAGGCAATTTCGTGGGCGTATCGACAGATATCTGTGGATCCTCTCTCTGAACGCCTCTCTTAGAGCCTTTATCATAGCCTGCCTTGTTTATGGTTAGAAGATCTGTTCATTTTTGTAGCCTCCGCAGTGCCTAGTGCTGTGCTTTACATCTTTGGGAAAAGAAATTAACGTTCCAAGCGCTGAACTAAGACTTTGCATAGTTTTCTCTTTTAATATTTACAGAAAGAAGTCGGGATGGGAAGAACCAGACTTTTACGGGAGAGAACCATCTTTGGAAAAGTGTGCACTTGAAGAGTGAGACCTCATGGACAGAAACCCAGACATTTAAATATCACTATATTTTTTATGATTCAAGGAGAAACAAAATGCTCTTGATAAAAGTAGAAGAAAGGAATGAAAAAGGAGAATGAAATAAAGCAATTAGAAAGAGACCGGATTTAGATGGGTGCAAGAGCAATTGAAATTCTTCACGCTAGGTCAGCCGCAGTGGCTTACCCCGGTAATCTCAGCACTTAAGGAGGCTAGAGGATTGCTTTTGAGCCTAGGAGTTCAAGATCAGCCTGGCAACATAGTGTGATCACCCCACACACACACACACAAAATATTTTAAAATTACACTGGCATAGTGGCGCAGACTTGTAGTCCATACATTTTAGGTTGCAGTGAGCTGATCAAACCACTACACTCCAGCCTGGGCAACAAAGCAAGCCTCCATCTCTAAAAAAATAAAAAACTGCTCTGCCTCCATAGCACTTAGTACTACTAGTTCAGTAAATAATTGTGACCAAATGAATGTTTTGTCCTCTTTTATCCTTTCTTCCACCTATTAGGGAGGCATATGACACCCCAAGTTGCAGAATGATCTCACTTTTTTTTCTCTCCTGACATCTCTTTTTTTTTTCCCTCAGCACTTCAGAGAGGAACTGTTATGTCCATACTCTAGATCCTCCTCCCCACTACCATGGTGCAGTACCTCCTTCAATTCAAAGTGGATAATCTGGAGCCACCTTCAAATGGGCATATGACCTTGAAGGACAAATTTACTCTTCCAACCTCACTCTCTTGTCCAGCCCCACCTCCTCTGACTAAGGGCTTACACATGTGAGACAGTTGCTTTCAATAAAGGATCTGGTTGGGTAGAAGAAATTAACCGGGATACATGACTGAACTGTGACCTCATTAACACTCTGTCTTAACCGAGTTAACTACTACAGAATCCCCAAGGTCCAATAGGCCTGCCAAGCCAATTTGCTTGCTGTCCCCCTACTAATTAGATTAGCTAATTACTGCCATTTAAACGTTTCTTAGTTTATTCCCTGTATTTGATTTCCTGCCATGTCCCTGCCATTCTACATCAATAACTTCCTTCAAGTACTGATTCAAAATACACCTCCTCCAGGAAGACCCTTGTGACTGAACCCATCCCTCAACATTACTCTGAACACATAATGCCACATAAACTAGTAGGTATTCTATATTCTCTAGTTGTTTTGTGTGTTCTTCTCTAAGTTATAAGCTTCCTCAAAAAGAGATACAATTACTTCTACAATTGATCTTAGCCAAAAGGTTGAGAAGAGATGAGACTCCATTACTTGTAAGTTTCTACCTCCCAAAAAGTTAGTGCTGTCTACATGATGAATCCTCACATTTGTTAGAAGAAGGAAATCTAAGGCTTAAAGATAGGAAGCATCTGCCTACAGTTAACCAAATATGAATTCAGTAGTTGAATACAGAAGGGCTGTCCACATAAGAGAGTTTCGCCACCATTTCGGGTTTCCTCCTCCTCTACCCTGTATGTCTCCCTGAGCCCTGAGCCCTAAGCCCTGAAAGTATAAGTATTACCTACATCATATCCCTTTTTTTCTCTACTGGGAAATCCTCTTTCTGTGCTCTGAATAATATTAAAAATAACTCTTCTAGCCCTTCCTCCCTCTCCCAGCTGCCCAGATAACCAGGCTAGCAACCTCTCTTTTTCACTTCCATCCCCAAGCCAGAGCAGGCACGTGACCCCAGCTCAACCCCTGACTCCAATTCCTCAGGTTACCAAGAGCTATTTTGGGCAATGGATACCATGTATTGCCCTCCTCGCCATCCTCTGGGCCATATCCTAGCTTAGCCCTTCTTGGAAGGCCCATCATACAAGATAGCCAAGTCCTAACACCCATAGCCATCTGATCCCTAATTACCTTTGGTTTCTACTTCTTCTGCCACATCATCATCATTATCATCAAAATATTAAATGCCTGTTCCCATGTGCTGATCTGCTGGAGCTAAAAAAATTTTAATGTACACTTTTAATGTATACCTTTGCCTTCAGAAAGCTCCAAATTCTTTCCATTAAAAAAAATGAAAACAATGTACAGTTCTGTGTTAGGGAAGATGCTTACTCTGGCTAATAAGGAGTTTAAAATCTGTTCTGAAATGTCTGACACCTGTGTGTCATAAAAATATAAGGTGAAATTAGAAACAAAGGTGTACAATTTAAACCAGATTGTGTACGGACAAACTATATGTTAAGAACTAACAATAGGAAAAGAGCCTGATAATCAGGGAAGACTTCCCGGTTAACAGGTGTTTTTGGTTTGGTTTGGTTTTGAAGCCAGACAAATTTAGCTAGTGGGATGTAAGCAATATTTTAATTTTTATTTTCAATATGGTAAAAATTCAAAACGTTCTAAAAGGTATATAGTGATAGGTGAATTTCCCTCTCATTCCTCATTTCCTGTTTCCCGGTTTTTTCTCTCCAGGGAAAAGCACTGTTGCCAGTGTTTTTGTGTATCTTTCTAGAGGGAAGCAAGATATTGAAGGCAAGGGAAAGCTTTTATATATAAGGCTTTGACAGGGGACCCACATCCTACACTTCTTCCATAAAATGTTTCCTTCAATGTGTAGAGTTGCTAAGCTCGGAACAGAACCCTGAATCACCTTTACTGTACCAATTTTTCAATCTCCACTTTACTTCTATCCTCCTTTTCCCTAACTGGGCTGGAATGACCTCCATTCATTAGTTTTTCCTTAAGTGACAGCTCAAGGGTTGAGGAACACCCCCACCTTTTTCTGGGGAGAAACCTTGGTGTCTTTTGAAGTGTAGTCACCTTACCACTTTAACCTGGCAATGGAGCAGTTAGGGAGTTGAAAAGTGCCCCTTCTGTTGGCCTTGGGAGGCCTTCCCTAGCTGTCAGTTATCCTAGCCTCCTTGGGGTTTTCTGCAGCAGGAGAATCCTTCCTGGGGTTTCTCTGCAGTTTGAGCACTTTAGCTAGTTCCTTTCTACGGAGTTCACGTGTCCGCCAGTGGAGATACGCGCCTTCGCTCCCCCTGGGGCTATTGACATATAATTCCTAGATCTCCACCCCCCAGTTTCCCCTAGTCTGTGGGGAATTTGGCGTTTGAAATAGCTGACTGGAGGAGTTAGCTCGGGCGGGGGCACTGTGGGCTGGGTGAGATCTGGCCAGCCGTTTGGTCCCCAGGTTGAGAGGAACGGCGGGACCAAGGCCTGGGTTTCCGCTAGCGTCTTGCGGGGGACCTCGCGGATCTTCAGACTGGAGCGGAGAACACAGTGCGGCCGGCCGGGGGAACCGGGTGCCAGCGTCCGAGGTGTGGGGTGCCAGGCAGCTCCGGCAGCCAGGGTGGGGCGGAGGGCGCTGCGGCCTGGGACAGCCTGCGCGGCGAGAGCCCTGCGGCCGGGCCCAGGACGGCCGCCAGGGAGCGCTGCGGCCTCCCGCTCGCCCGCCCCCCGGTAGGCGGGGCCGCGCTCTCCCCGCAGCCGCCGCCGCCGCAGCCGCCGCCTGGGCCGCCCCGTGTCCCCGGTGGAGCTGCCGCCGCCGCCGCCGGGAGCTCGATGCGGACGGAGCCCGGGCCGGGCCATGGGGATCCTCAGCATCACAGACCAGGTCAGCCCTCCTGCCCTTCCCTGCTTCCTTCTTCCAGGGCTCGGTGCCGCCGCCACGCGAGCCGGGGGATGTGCGGCCTAGGCTGGGCCGGAGCCCGGGGCTACCGCAGCTCACGCCCCGCCCCACGCCGCGCTCCCCTCAACCGAGCCAGTGTCCTTGGGGACCTAGCAACCGGCGGAGGCACCGCAGGAGCCCGCTTCAGCCAGCACCCCCCACAGCCGAGCCCCTCCAGCGACGTCCCCCCCTCAAAGCTGGGTGCTCCCCCACCCCCACCGCGGTTCCGCTCTGGCCCGCTCCCTGAATGCGGGTTCTGCTTGCAGCCGCCCCTGGTCCAGGCCATCTTTAGCCGAGATGTGGAGGAAGTGCGTTCCCTCCTCTCACAGAAGGAGAACATCAATGTGCTGGTGAGTTGGGAGCAGGGAGGATGGCGAGCTCTGAATCCGGTGTTCTGGACCGCTCGCAGTGGGGCGGTTCCGGGTCTCCTCTGCTCAGACGAGGCCGCACCTCTTTCCACCCTGGGGTGGGGAGCCAGCTGTGCATTTGGGGATGGGGAACAGTAGGTCAGTCAGGCTTGGACCACAGGCCAGTGGGTCTGGGGATACCCAGAAACGGTGTTCTTTTTCTGAACCATTGGGGTCTGCAGCGCCCCCACCCCTCCTGGAAAAAGGAGATGGCTTCTCGGCCCTGTGGCCCTGACTCCACCCTCCCTAGGTGCTTATCTTTGACTCTCAGGATGCTGCCATGGGAAGAGATTGTGGGGAAAGGCCTGGAGGTCTAAGACTTGGGCTAGGGTCCTTTATAGTTTCCTACCACCACCACAGCCGCTCTTCTTTTCTGCCTTCCCAGGACCAAGAGAGGCGAACCCCATTGCATGCTGCTGCCTACGTAGGCGATGTCCCCATCCTCCAGTTGCTACTGATGTCAGGTGAAAGTGGGGAGCTGGAAGGTGTGGCATCTAGGGAGAGAGGGAAGGAGGGAGGGGCGGAGTCTCTTTTTTGATATCCAAGGATTGATCTTTGGTGCTTGGTCCCAGGTGAGGTGCCAGCTTCATCCAGATTCCCTGGCCTGGTTAGTGACTTCTTTCTCGCCCACTCCCCACTTTCCATCAAAATAGGAAATTATATCCCCACAGGTGCTAATGTCAACGCTAAGGACACACTGTGGCTGACCCCTCTTCATCGTGCTGCTGCCTCCCGAAACGAGGTATGGGCCTCCCACCTTCTGTCACCCTTCCAAAAAGGATGCATTGATTAAAGGTGGGGGTTAAAGGTTGGAGAGTCTCAATCCTCTGCCCTATAAGCTGTTCTACCCCAGGTAGGGAGGAGACCAGATCTTGGCCCCTCCCTTCTACCCCTAAAACAGGCTGGTAAGGGGGCTGAGTGCTGCCAGCTATGTGACGTCAGGGAGAGCTTAACACTGGGCTGGCAGACTGCGGGGGCCCTGCTGCCAGGCCTGAGTGACTCATCCCTCCCTGGGGGGCCACCTTGAGTCTGATCCCCCTCTGGGCACTGATATTTCTTTCCTTCTGATGGGGGATGGGCATAGTGATCGCTTGCATCCCTGCCTCTCAAGCAGCATGAAAGTTGACAGCACAGGGGACAAACATATTTTATTAGTTGGGTCCTCTACCCAGTTCCCTGTAACCCTGAAGAGAAGGAAAAGGAGAGCCCCCAGCCCCAATTCAGCCATCACTGGCTCCAGCCACCAGGGGGAGGGTCTGAGGCCAGTGGGAATGAGGTGGGTGGTGGTTAGGAGGGGCATTTTAAGGCTGGATTTTGGAGAGGAACCAGTATCTGTTTGCTTACTGAGGTAATGGAAATGATTTTGGTGCCTATGAAAGGGCTAAGGAACATGTTCAGGGTATTAATGTAGCAAGGGGAGTTAAGTTTTCCTGGAAGTAGTGGGGGGTTGGGATGTATGGATCTACATGTGTGGATTTGCTTGGGAATGGATGTTTGTGGGTTAAGATTTTCAGAGTCTAGGTTGGAGTGATACCAGGTGACTTGAGAAAGGGGTCCCTGTTTCCCTCAGCAAGGTAAGGAAGATTTTTAAAGCTCTAAAAAGATCCAGAAGATGGAAAGTAGATATGGAAAGGCTATGTATGTTGGAAAAGTGAGAAAAGACTCTGTGTTGGGGGGGATGGTGCCATATGTGCCATGCTGACCTATCCCTCCTCCATTTCCTGTTGCTTTACCCTCTGATCCCCCTCTATCTTTTGCCCCCTGCCCCTCAACAGAAGGTGCTGGGGCTGCTGCTGGC